TAGGATGTTTTGTTGTTTTTGTTTGCTTTTGTTTATTTTTTTTTTGTTTTTTTTGTTTTTTTTTGTTTTTGTTTGTTCTGTGTGGCTATCGTTGATGGTGTTTCTGTATTTGTTTACTTCTTTATGGTGGCGGTGTATCTTCTGCTGCATCAGCACTGCATGCAGAGCAAAAGAAATATATAAATAGTGATAAAAATAATATTTAAATAAAAAAAAAAAGAAAAAAAGAAAAAGAAGAAAGAAAGAAGCAGGCTTGTTTGTTTTGTTTAGGTATCTGTTGCTACCGCCAGAGCTGCCTATACACCCCAGCAGTGACAGCACAAAAAACCATCCTTCTGCGGCAAAATAAAATAAAATATAAAAAAATAAATAATATTTATTTATAAAAACAAATATATAAAGAGAAAATATAAAAAAAATAAACATAAACCTATGCTTTCTCTGCTGTTGCTGTTTTATATTTTATATTACTCGCTGTGTTTTTTCTGTATATACACAGCACGCGCCGATGCTGTTGCTGCTGGTGTATTTGTGTCGTTTTCTTTTTGTTTTTGAATTTATTTTGTCTTTTTTCTTTTATTTATATTCTTTTATTTTATTTATTTTAATGGAGCAGCAGCTCAGCGCCAGTTTTTCTCTTATTTCCTCTGTATGTGGGGCCTGTTCAGGTGTAGTAGGCAAGAGAGGTAGCCACCTGTATGAGGGTTTGGGTTTATTTTTTTAATAAAATATTATATAAATGCATTTCTTTTCTTTTTTTTATTCATATAAAACAAAAAAGCTGCGAAAAAGCTCAATACAACAACCACATATACACACCCATCAGGCGTCCTATATACACAGCCTGCTGGGTAGAGCTCTTGTATATACTGCCTCTCTTTTTTTGTCTCTTTCTGTCTTCTTTATAAAACAATTAAAAATATAAATATATATAAACCTGAAAATGCGTAAAAGGCCGACAACAACAGCAGCAGCTGCACCAACAGCCAGGCAGGCTCATACTGAAGCAGCACCATCAACTGCAGCACGTACAGACCCTTCTGCTGCTGCTGCTGCTGTTGCTGCTCCTGCTGCTGCTGCTTCTTCCCGTCCTTCTACATCTAGCGCAGCAGCACGTGCAGCAGCAGCAGCAGCAGCAGGAGCTCCAGCTCCAGCAGCAGCAGCAGCAGCAGCAGTAGCAGCAGCAGCAAGAACAGCAGCAGCATCTGCTGGTGGCACATCATCAGGAGGATGGGGTGGAGTAGGCCCAGGCCTTCAACAAACTCGTCACCAGCAGCAGCAGCAGCAGCAGCAGCAGCAGCAGCAGCAGCAGCAGCGTGCAACAACTCGTCGCAGCAGCACATCTATATGCGGTGTATCTACAGTATGTATGGGGGATCTACCTATCCACAAACACCGCAACAAAATACTGAATCATATAAATAATAATTTTATTACGTGTATACAGGGAGAGACAGGCTGCGGCAAGAGCACACAGCTGCCGAAGTTTCTCTTAGAGCAAGACGCAGCCATGAGAAAGGCAATGCATGCAGCACGCATGCACAAGCAGCAGCAGCAGCAGCAGCAGCAGCAGCAGCAGGAGGGAGAGGAGGAGGAGGAGGAGTGTGACGACGATGAAGCAGCAGCAACCAGCAGCAGCAGCAGCAGCAGCAGCAGCAGTATCCCGCTGCCGCGTATGGAGACGTATAGACCTCTGCGGTGTATAGTGACCCAGCCCCGTCGGCTTGCATGCATAACACTAGCACAGCGTGTGTCTAGAGAGATAGGAGAGGAGACAGGTGGTTTAGTAGGTTATAGAATATCAGGAGAAAGTAAAACAAATAAAAAAACTAAAATTATATTCATGACCACTGGTTACCTGCTGCAGATACTTATAAATACACACACACATACACTCAGCCACATACTAACAGAAGAAGAGCTCCAGCTGCATGCAACAGGCAAAATACAAGCTCTCAATAAGAGAACAAACCACCACCAGCAGCAGCAGCAGCAGCAGCAGCAGCAGCAGCAGCAGGGGGAGGACCAACAGCAGCAGCAGCAGCAGCAGCAGCAGCAGCAGCAGCAGCAGCAGCAGGAGAATAATACTAATTATTTAGATAATATAACACATATTATACTGGATGAGGTACATGAAAGAGATATAGATGCAGACTTGTTGTCTCTTGTGCTAAAACTACAATTAAAAAATAAAATAAATAAAATAAAATTAATCGTTATGAGCGCCACCATGGAGGGCAATCTATTCTTTAATTATTTCGCTGATATACAGCCAAAACCAC